TTATCTTCCAGGGGGGCTTGTAACAAGAAGTAACAGGGCTCCTGATTTAGGATGCCGGCCAGGCCTCCTTCTCCGTAGTCCATTCTATTCCCCCCTCCAATGGTCAGTCCACATTCCACAACCACGCTTTGAACTCATTTTAGGATCCGCACCACAAGCTTAGGTTCCCCCCACCGTACACTTCCTGTGCATTTCGAGCTTCCCAGTCTTGCGTATTAAACGTTTCTGATTGATCTGGGTGGTGCGATTTGGTAGAAGAAAAGGTTCTTACCACTACTGGGGTGGTTGACCCAGGCTCTCGCTTGAAGACGGTTCTCATTCAAGATGGGAAACCTTTCTTTTTCCGGGGTAGAGGCCTGGGAATAGAGTGGCCAATCCTTAAAAGACAATCAGCAGATGCTTTAGTGCGCTAACAACATAACCATTGCCTTTCCAACAAACCAGTAAGGACACTGGTACAGCCCTTCTGTGGGATGCGAAGGACTGCTGCTGATTCCCGCCCCGATGCAGACACCAAATCGCCCTGCATCTTTCCCACCCTCTGGCACAACTTGGTGAATGTTCTGCTGAGGCCCAGCGGGTTTGATGGGGTTTTGTGTCTGTTTCCGGAGAAAGGAATAAAACTGTGAGAAGGCCTTCCAAAGGGGAAACCAGGAGCTCTAGGCAGCGTAACCCCCACTTTTCATTATTTTCTGTTATTTGCACAGCAGCTAATCAGCTCTGTCAAATCAGGCCTCCGCACGATCCAAGCTGGAAGCCATCAAAATGGCGTCCACACGGCTATTTCAGTGGCACCAAACAGCCTTCTCGGTGGAGGCCTGCAGCCTTATTTTATGGGTGAGAAACCAAGACAAGGACTGGGGGGTGTGTGGGGGAGAGACCCCTTAGCGGATGCTTTCCCAGAAATTAATCTGGGCAATTATTGACATGTCCCGCCCCACAAAGAGTCCAGGAGGAAGAGGAGGCAGCGAGAGGAGACCAAACCAACCCCTATCCCCAAGCCACTGCCCTGTTCCCATTTCCGACAGGCGCAAGGATGGCTTCAAGGGGAGAGCCCGTGTCTTCGCTGTGATTCTTTCCACCTATTGCAGGGCATGTGGGTTAAATTCGCCCACCTGAGGCCCAAATGGGACCCTCCAGGGTTTGTCCCAAAGCCCTCCCCCCTTTCCCTTAATCGCCCTTCACGGTGTGGTTTTGTGGCTTTTATGCAACAAGTCTCATGGGGGCAGCTTCTAGATGCAGGACATATGCATTCGTGGGCTAAGCAATGCGACCCTGGGCAAGCTGATTCAGAAATAAATGGGAAATTGGTGTGGCCTAGTGGTTAGAGTGCTGGACTGGGACTCAGGAGATCTGAGTTCTCATCTTCACTCTGCCATGAAACTCTCTGGGTGGCTTTGGGACGGTGGCCTATCTTTGGCCTAACCTACCTTATAGGCTTGTTGTGAGGATAAAAGAGAAAAGATGGTTCTGTCAGCCACCCTGGATTTGCGGAAGAGAAAAAAGGTGGGATAAAAATATAATACATAAGTTAAAAAGGACCACTGGGGTTCCCAAATAAATCAGTTTGTCACTTAAGGACTATTGTGTATGGGTCTGGGTGCGGGACAGAAACATTAGTATTAGGACCACAGTGCTGGAAAAGGAGAGTTTCTATGGTTTACCTACAGCATTTCCATACAAAACAAGACAGACACAATTCAGATCTCTCTCTTTTTGTTTTGCTTCGTTTCTGCTGGGGGGAGGGGGAATTTCCTGGAAAACAACTCAAGAAAATATAGGGCAAAGTCACTCTTCCTCTAGCTTCCTGGCACTGATCCAAATATCCCACCCTAAAAGGAAAAGCCGCACAGTGAGCGACTTGGCAGATTCTTTTGGTATCACCTGGAGTTTGGCTCCCACATCAACAGATTAAACAGATGTGGCTCAGACTTCCAAAGCTACCATTTAGGCCTGCAATAGGCTGTCCCTGAGATGTTTGGGACTTCAGCATCTATTATCCCCAGCCAGCATGAGCAGGATGATGGCAGCTCTGTTCCAACCTATTTCGAGGGGCTCTGATGGGGAATATATCCTGCCTGGCTAAACATTTGCTCTCAAAATCCACCCAAAACGTACAGCCCCAAAGCCCCCCCCCGCTTCCCACCAATTTTTCTCTCTCTCTTCAAAACAAAAACACACTCAGTAGGACTTTACCCTCTAAATAACCCCACAGCCCAAAGTGCCACAAACTAATTATATCTTTGCTGGAAACAAAACTTCCTGGGGTGTATTTTAAACCTGCACTGCAGTCCGCGTCTTTTCTGTGTAAATAGACATGTGTGTCTTTTCTGTGCCTTCCGTGTCTGCACTTCCTCAGCACTCTGCACTTGACGTTTTCTATCCTTTGCAAACCGGCGAGGGGCAGGGGCCGGGAGCTCGCTGGCAAATCGCGCCCTCTGCCCCCGGGAAGCCTCGCCCGGCTCCCACAGGCCAAAAAAAGGCATTCTGCACACTCGCGCAGCAGCCCCGGCCTCACGGGGTGGGAGCAGCTCTGGCAAGCAGCCTGGTGTAATTAAGGCCCTGCGCTGTGCCCTGTATTCATTCTGCTGCTGTTGGGTGGCTAATTAGCCATGTCAGCTGTCCATTTTGAGACAGCGGTGCCGGTGCCAAGAGCGCCTCGTCTTCCGAGATGCACCCTCCCCTTGCTGCTGCTCCCCCCCCCCCAAGGCCAGGCTCCTGCATCAGGGGCAGACGCGGCTTGGGGCGCTCGGGGGCCGTCCGCGAATTTAGCAAAGGCCTGGCTTTGCACCCAGCGAATGCTGCGTTTGGCCGTCCCCCGTACTCAGTGGCGGCTGGGGAAAGAGGCCTCCTTGCATCCTTGCCTGCCGGGGCGTGTGCCCCGCAGAGCCAGGAATGGTACCAGCTGCACACAGCCGTTCGATCTTAGGCCCGCCGGTGCGGGTTGAAGGTGGCCCAGCTCTGCATCACATTCATGTCCAGGCCAGGCGCCTACATTCCAGCTGGATGCTGCATCTTTTCCCAAAACCACCTTGCGGAACATTAAAAAATAAATAAATAAAACGGGAGGAGGAAAAGAATTTTTTTTTAAAATGGGAGGGGGAAATAAATAAAACAGGAGGGGGAATGAAGAAATAAAACGGGAGGAGGGAAATAAATAAATGAAATGGGAGATAAATAAATAAAATGGGAGGGGAAAATAAATAACATGGGGGGAGAGAAAAGCCTCTCGAAGAAGGGAATCGGACGCGCCCCCCCTTTCCCCGCCTGTGTGCTGACATCCGAGGCACCGCTTGGATCCTTCTTTGTAACAACCTCACAGATAAAAGATTTATTTCTCACTCTTACAAAGATGTTACCGGGGACGTGGCAGGATTTTGCAACTTGGAGCCTGCCTGGAGGTGTCAGACTTTCACTCCCATCAGCCCCAGCCATCCGGGAGCTGGATGGGGAGGATGGGAGGCTTAGTCCAAGGCCGCTGGAGGACAGCTCACCTGGGGAATCCACGTATATATCACTGCTGCTTTAAGGGGGGGATACGTTGGGCAGCTTGCTTTTCACCCGGCGTGGAAGCGGGCAAGCTCTTGTCAAGGAAGGTCGCTCGATCCCCTTTCTGCTCGGGGATCTGAGCCACACAGCCTCCTCGGGCGTTCCCTGGCGCTGCTGCTCGCAGGATGAGGTAAGGGAATATTATCCGTGCTCACTTTCTCCACCGCTCTTGCAATCTTGCATAGATTAAGGTTATCATAGCAGGCGTGTCTCCACAGGCTCCTTTGGCGCCCTGCTCCCTGGCCGGCCGGGCCTGGAGCAAGAGGTGGCAGAAGGCAGTTGCCAGAAGCAGGACGCTGGACGGATGCTCTGTGCTCGGCCTGCTCCTGGCAGCCGCCTCGGATAGTTGGGAGTGGAGCTTCCTTAGCCAGAAGCAGTGTACCCCTCAAGCTTCAGATGCTGCGGACAAGCAAAAGATGAGGGGTATCACTGCCTTGCTGAACCTGGAGCCCTCCAGACTGCGAAGTCCATCTTCTGCTGGGGATGATGAGCCTTGCAGTCCATCCCATCAGGAGGTGGCCGGGCTCGGCAGGGCTGGGAGAGCGCCCTCATGCCCCGTTGGGGGGCTTCCCAAAGGCACACGGCTAGGAACACAGCCAAAAGAAGCAGTCCATTGCCCCCGGATCCCAAGCGCTGGGAAGTGTGCAAGATTTAAGATTTGCAGATGGCTATTTATAGGTCTGGATGCAAATGTGGAGATAATTATAATCATTCCTCTAGAAATGCAGAATGTTTCAGCCTCGTGTGCAGGCTGCCCACAGGTGGCCTCGGAGCCCGGCTCTCCTGTCCGCTATCCAGGTGTTAAGGGAAACTGT